GGAAACCCAATAGTTGTTCGGAAGGAACTCCAAACACACACTTTGTTGGGTTAAGCTTCCACTTGTACTTACAAAGACTCTCAAAGGTTTGCATCAAGTCTGCGATTAGAGTAGAGGGGTCCTTGGTCTTAACAATGACATCGTTCATGTAGGCTTCTACATTATGACCGATATGTTCGTTTAGGCACGCCTGGATAGCCTGATGATAGGTTGCACCGGCGTTTTTTAACCCAAAGGACATAGTCGTGTAAAAGTAGGCACCAAACGGAGTGATGAAGGATGTCTTGCTCTAATCTTCTTTACGGAGGGCAATCTGATGGTATCCCCTATAGCAATTAAGGAAGGATGGAAGAGCCGATCCAACCGTAGAGTCTATGATCTGATTGATATAAGGTAAGCCAAAGGGATCCTTCGAGTAGTGTTTATTGAGATCTGTGTAGTCGATGCACATGCACCACTCTTTCGAGTTCTTCTAGACGAGTACAGGATTGGCTAGCCAGTCAGGGTGAAGGATTTCCCTAATGAACCCGGCTACCAATAGCTTGGTGATTTTCTTTTTGATTGCTGCTTTCTTATCTGGTGAAAACCGTCGTAGACGTTGCTTGACCGTCTTTGAGCCAGGACTTAAATCCAATTTGTGCTTAGCCAACTCTCTCGGAACACCCGGCATATCAACTTGTTTCCACACGAAGATATCCTTGTTTTCCCTGAGAAGGTTGGTGAGCGTGAGTTCCTATTCTTTGGAGAGGTGGGCACTGATGATAGCCGTCTTAGAGGGATCACCAGTACCTAGATCAATCTCGATGGTATCCATCTTAGAGGGTGGTGTAATGATTCCTACCTTCTTAGTCAGAATCTCCATGTCTTCTGCCTTAGTCTGTTGTGCAATGTTGGCAATCTCATGTGCTTCATAGGCTTGCTGCCCACCCTGATTGCTTCTAGGGTCATAGCCTTTGTCTTGTTGGTCGTGTGGGAATCGTTCGTGAGTATGTTCTTCAGATGCAATCATCTTCTTTACTGTACGCTTAAATTCCTCGACGGTCTCTGGGTTATCATCGCTGAACTTTTCAAACTACCACTTGTATTTGATCCCATTGGTGAAGTGATCTATCACCTCCTTGTCTGTGATATCAAAGACTTGGGCTCGTATTTTAGTAAAGCGGTGATAATATTGCTAGAAGGTTTCATCTGGTTTTTGTTTGCAAGTTCTAAGCTCGTTCCGGGTACTTGGGTGGGTGAGGACGCCATAAAAATTTTCATAGAATTTGCGCTGAAGCCGTCCCCAAGTATCGATGGAGCAGGCTAGTAGTTTATCAAACCAAGCAAGAGGCACAGTGTTGAGTGCCATGGGAAAATATAACACTTTGATGTCATCGTCACCACCTACCAATTCGATGGACTGAGAGTAGATGCGCAACCATTGGTTGGGTTGTCTTCCCATCGTACTTGGTGTGGTTGGACGACTTAAATTTATAGGGAAGCTGGACAGAGAGTAGTCTGTTAGAGAAATATGGGAACCTGTTCTGTGGGATGCTGGCCTCTCTGTACTCGGACTCGCCTCTGTCTTCCTTGTTGCTGTATTGGTGCCCATGGTAGGCCAATTGTGCGGCACCCTGATTCCTATTCTGGTTACCCTACGGCCCTAGACAGGAGTGGGCCGATACTCGTTGTTCTCCTCCTTGGTTACCCTGTGGTCCTAGACGAGACTGGGCTAGTGCCCGTGCCTCTGGTCCTTGGGAATGGTTAGCTTGGGATGTCGCTTTTGTAGCCTGCATCTGAAGGGCTATGGATTCCAAAATGACTTTGAGTCGTTGCTGATCTGGAGTAGGGTTTTCTATGGCCACCATCTCTTCTACCAGGGCGTAGACGTTGGTGTAGGGCATAGTGAAGACCCTATGGCCAGCTACTTCCATGAACTCAGGCTCAAGGTTGCGTGATGTAGAGGCTCTGACGGCATCATGGTCTTAGGGCTGTCGTTCTGCTTCTTCACCCCATAGACGTTGTTCATATGCTGCCTCTGCTGCCAAGCGTCGTCGTTCGACATCTCGACAAGCCGATTGATACCGCTGCCACTCCTCCTTGTGGTGTTGGGCGTGGTTGCACCGAGCCTGTCGAGCTCTGTTCTTCCTTTCCCTAGCAGTCTTCTACTCATCCATCTCTCCGTTGGGTGGCGTAGTGTCCGGGGAGATATCGGACAAGGTTTCCTCTCCATCTTGGATATCTGGTGGGTTAGGCATAGGGATCTGAGGTGGTTGCCTAGCCATAAAGACTTCTCTGGAGTGCCTCGTGGCCGAGTGAGTTCTAGATTCTACAGTCATCGTAATGTCCAAGATTTCTGTAGAACTGTGATCGTTGTTGTCTGCTAGAAGAGTTTTGCTGTCCTGATAAGGCAAGAGTTCCACCATGCCAACTAGACGATATAGATCTATTAAAGAAGTGTCAGGTCGAGCACCCAGCCAATGGACAATGCCTCCTTCGGGTGTGATGGATAAAACCAAACCTCTCTGGGCACCCATAAGAGGGATCTCTTGCTCAGACTGCACAAGGTAGCTGATTGTATCTTGATAGATTGAGGTTGAATTCTTGAGTCTAAGTAGAAAACGAACTGGGTCTTCGTGTTGGACTTCAGATGGGATCTCTAGCTCGGACAAAGGTGACGTGTCCAAGCAAGAGTTGTGGTTGATGGTGACCTCCTGAGTTCGAGTTGAATCAGAAATTGAGAGGTACAAAAACTTCTCGGTGAGTTGATCCAGCGTGGTCATCAAGACGTCTGGTAAGGCTTGAGGCTTCGGGATCTCCATGAGACAACTTTGGAGCTTGCCGTTGTCGTCAGCCTTCCAGATCCATGAGCCGAAGATGAAAGTGACACCCACCGAGAAAATAATGTCGTCGAGGTCCGCCGAGCTCTCGATCGCAAAGTCACCAAAAGCCCCTACTTAGCGCGCCAGTTGTCGATGTTTGATGACCGGCAACCCATCACGGGGGTACCTGAGATGGTGTTCGGAAGGCTTCGGCGTACGCAAAGCTCGATGGTAAACGCAAAGAGATGAACGATTTATAATGGTTCGGGCCCTCTTGTCGAGAAATAGCCTTTACGTCTAGTCGGCGTGTAGCCTTTTGCGTTCGATTGATTGTATGATTGTTAGGGTTATAAGGGGGGTGCATCGTACCTCTCTTTATATAGAGGAGAGGGTAAGGGCACGTATCTAGTCCTAGTCGGTTACAGGAGAAGAGTCCTAGTCATATTACAGAATCTAGTTTTCATATCAAACCGACTAAGTCGATTTGGAATAACTTGAAGTCCACACCACCTTATCTCGTGTCCTTCAACAGATCGTGGGCCACCCCAGGGCTCATCCAAGTAGTACCCCCATGGGGAATCCCTAGGACCCTGGTCCGTCACCTATCTCCTAGTCGATTTTTCTAATGTTGGCAACGCATGCCACGACGTGGGGAGCGATGACAAGGCATTCTCTTAGTTACAAGTGTTACTGCAACGACACATTATGATGGTCTAATGTCATATATATCATGGGAAATATGCACACACATATTGTGAAGGGCCTAATATCCTACATACCATGGAAAATGTGTACACACACGTCTGTTTTCTTTCTTTCATTGTCATGTAGTACAATTGAGGGTCTGTTTGGAACATGAATTTTTTTTCGCTTCTACATTTTTTTTGAAATTGAATTGATTTCTTTGAATTTTTTGTACGATCCGTGTGAAATTCCTGGGTTCATTCCCAATCAATGCTATACGGTTAGAGAAAAAAAACTAAGGATATCTTTCCTTAGTTTTGATAGCACACAACAGACAACAAACTGTAAAGTTAAACTGTTGGCCACTACTAGAACATCAGCTGGGTCAGTGCTGCCGCTGATTTTCACCCTGTTCGCTGATGCTAAAATTTGACTTAGGCTAATGTTTATATTAAAATATTGTAAGAGAAAAATATTATTCTACAACTGAAAAGTAGTTCTAAATAAGCTTAAGTTAATCGGACGTTTGCCACCGCGCGTGCGTCCTATACTCGTCTTTCTCTGGCAGCACAACAGAAAAAAGAAACTTTCATTTCTTTGCTGGGTTGGCATGGCCGGTTTATTGGGTACTGTTCGAGGTGGCCGCCGGCAGCGAGACGCGACCGCACGGCGGTGGTGCCGGTGGGTTTTGTGCCTGCCTTCACAGTTCACACCATCTGCATGCGTGACACGTCAGCTGGGCCGTCCATCACACGGCCTGGTATTTAATCTCGGGCTGGGCTACAACTCTAGAAGGCCCAATGGCCCCAACCAGACTACTGCAAAGCACGACCGCCTCCAGCCGCCCCACTCGATCGTTCCTCTTGCGCACTCCATCCTTGCAGACAATCTAACAGAAGGGGCCACTTCAGGTCACATTGCCACCAAAAACAGCAAAAAAACAAATTCCTTCCGATAGTACATCACAATATAATGCCATCCTCATCAGAACCCAGAGCATTGCAACACAGTAAATATACAATACAAACGGGTCAAGGATGTCACCCAATGCAAGTTAATGTCATCATCATAGTAACACCTCCCATATATATGTATGATATGCCTACTGGTACTTACTAACATAATATTTACACAACTTACAAACCCAAGGTCTATCTTAACATCCATCCTTGTTATTGCTTGTTGCCCGTCACTAAGGCTTTCACTAAGCTTAGGCAGATTACTAGACACGCATTAACTGTCATCTTGTTTAAACCAAACCAAACTAAAAGACACATTATCAAATCTTTTCTTTTCTGCAAAGCCTATGTTACATCACTTCTTCCTTCCACTGAATTCTTCTGAAGAAAGAACTGACGCCAGCAACCAATCTGTTGCGTTCTTCGTCATCTTCGTCATCGACAAGCTACGCCATCATGTTTCAGCTACAACCATCTCCTGCCCCAGCAAAATGACCATGTCGTCAAAGGCTCCAAAAACCCACCTTCCATCCCTGCCCAGCTACCCCCCCTTCTTCTAAAAGTCCCTCTTCCCATCCTGCCCCGGGCAAGGGCAAGCCTCCATATGGCTCCCATCTCCAATGGGATGGATCACGATCTTCCTCACCATCTGGCAAAACTCCCTGCACGAGTTATTATAATGTGTGTTATTCACAACCTGTATAGTATTAAGCTCCTGTCTATTTTTTTTTTCAGGAGGATATGCACAAGGTAGCTTACTGCCAAGGAACAGCTCCGACTTCCATTGCCTCATTCTCATCGTTAGTGAAAGTAACCTTCCATTCCTCTTTGAAGCCAAGGTCTTTTATCTCAAACATCTCTTCAAGCTCACCCATCAACTGTTCATAACCATCCAGATTTCCTAAATCCACAGCTCTGCCCACAGCATTTCCATGCATTTGAACCTAACATGGATCAAACACACAGGTTACACAGCAGTCTAAGTGGCAAGACAAGGAGAAGATAAGAGAAAAACAAAAAGTCGTTACCTTGATACGACTTCTTCCATTGCAACTCTGATGGCTTTGAATTTCTTGGGGCTTTCATTCACCAAGTGCGTATGATCTTTCGTGACTCTTGAAAGCGCCGATAGCTGACCAGAGTCTTCAAAAGAACCAGCACCTCGCATCGATGTTTCCCCTACTCCCACAGTCGTCTTGTCAGCAGTAGCACTACTCCTAGTATGATTAATTAAATTGACGCCAAACAGACGGAACATGCCCGGTTCCTTCTTTTCTTCGACGGCAATGGAAAATTTTGGAGCAACCTCCTCGGTCTGGTAGCTGCACAGAGCAGTGTTGCAAGACAACTTGGAAGAGGGCTCCTCAGCTTGGTAAGCAGAGAGCCCAGGCCAAGGAGGAACCCTCACGTCGTTGCTGGTGACCTGAAACAGTTTCTGAGATATCTCTGGCAACGAAGGGGAGGTCCCTTTGCTTGAGGAATTGAAGTCCTTGAACCAGCTCCCAATTACTGCAGAATTCTGACAAATTGAACTACTCATGGCACTGTATCCTGCGTGTTCACTTGTCCAAGCGACTTGATGTACAGATATACAACTGGGTTCGGTAGAGCTTATACTTGTCTTCTCATGCTGTTCAGGCCTTCCAGAGAGCCAGAATTCTTGAGCAGGTTCTACAAAATTATGAACATTAGACTCAAATTTCCAGAGATCTTTTTCAGAGACAAGCAATATGAAATTTTCAGTGTCATACCCAGCACATGAATATCCAGGCTTTCAGCTGTCTCCCTCGGCCTTTTGTTTTTCATTGACGGTTGCATGGGTATGTTGATGGCAGGTGCGGATGCATCGAATGGTTCAATTTCCCAAGAGGAAACCCTCTCAGGGCCATTGAAGTTTGTGGCTTCGTCCCATTTGACCTAAACCACGAAAATTGAGAAGACGTTCAGCATCTTGTCTAAGGAAAAAAAAAGTCAAATAATGATAACAAATAAAGCAGATCAAACTGATCTTACCTTCAATGTCTTCCATTCAGAACCTTGCCATTGTGGAGAAAGATCTCCTTTATCGACAACAGTTCCAGAAAACCTACAGGGTTAAAAGAGATGGAGTGATCATGTCAATATGAAAGGACAGCAAGTCAGCAACAAATTAAAGGAGAAACACATAAGATGACAGGATGAGTAGTTACTTCTTTACAGGGACGTCTTCCCCTTCAAAACTCATCTTAAACCTCATGCCCACATTAAATCCAATTTTACTTGATTCAAGGTATTTGTTCAGACTGACGATGTATTGGCTTTGGCTTAACCTGAGGAAACCAAAAAAAAAACACATACACACAATTAACAGAATGATAAGAACAGTTATATTAAAAGAATGATGTTAGGAAGTGTCCAACCTTGGTCTATAATACACTAGGAAAATGGAATTAGTCTTAATAGCATGTGATGCACTTGCAAGCACCCCAAGATGCATGCTTTGGCTTGATATAACAGATGCTGGCATTGTGCTTTGCTTCTGCACAAGGCGCCTCACTCCGACACGCTGTTCTCCTGTCTCACTCCTAAGAAAAAAAAGCATGGTACCTTGTAAGTTGTACATATACTCGATACATGAGCATGCGCACAAGGTTTCTTTTTTTTTTGGATGCACAAGCTGTTTGTTTAAGTTCAGTTGAGATCTAACCTCAGGTAGACAAAAGCGTCACCAGCAATCAGCTTCTTTGATGTGACAAACGTGCTCCATCCAGTAGTCAGAAGGTGCCGACGGGGTTGGCCTAGAGAACCAAGAAATGCAGAATTAAGCACCAGAAATTACTTAAAGGTGCCATTTTTCCCTTGATCTGTGGCCAAAATGATTAGAAGATAATACAGTGGAGACTGTACTGTACATACCCCTGTAGATGTGCTTGAACCTCCATTCAGATCCATGTAGGTCCTTTGTGATGAGCTCTTGGGTTGGGGTCGGCATCGACATATCCTGATTATTAGCGTGAAAGAAACCTAAGAATTTTCCATCGCCGTACCACATGAATTATTTTAAAACAAGAGAATTATGCATACCAGTGGTGGGAGGCATTCGTTTGCATGACGCCGAAGAACGGAGAAACCGCCATGAGTGCTGGTGTCGGATGGTGTGAGGATCTTGCAGAAGGAGTGCACCACAGGCCTTGACGTCTCCGGCAGGAGTGGGTCAGGTAATGTGGGCAGATCCACTTGCTGCAAGCAACAAAAATAAATTACAATTTTTTTCAGACAAATCCACACAGTAAATTCTCCCAATACGACTATACGAGTGCACACTCACTGAATTGCTTTGCCTACAAAAATCGACATACTTGCAAACAGCAGAAGAGTTCAGAATTGAGGGGATCCCATCCAAAAGGGTAAGTAAAGATGGGTAGAATTAGGGAGGGACAGCAAAAAGGACATTTGCAAAGCAGAGAACAACCCAAAAAGAAAAACTAGTAGCAAGTAAATGATGGTGGTCCAGTCAGTCCACTCTGTGTCTGTACTCACATCTGGTTCGGGCTGCAGAGTGATCTGGGCGTACATCTCGTCCGTTTCTGTCTCGGCCTGCAGCACAGGTGCAGAGACACAGGGAGGGAGAAGACGAACAGTTAGCAAGTCGGGGCCTGGCATCAAATTGAAGGCCGAGAAGAGAAAGGCGAGTGAATTACCTTGAGCTCGACGTTGACGACCTTGCAGAGGATCTTGTTGGGCACCTGGAACATCTTGATTTGCTCGGCCAGCAGCGCCGGGTCCGTCGGCTCTTGCAGCTGCAGGGGCAGCACAGCACAGCAGCAAGAAACAATTAAGAGAGGAATTCAGAAAAGATAGAAGAGAATTTCAGAAAGAGTAGAGAGAGAGTGAGGAGCGACCTGCTCCAGGTGACCCTGGAGGAAGTAGAAGACCCTCTCGTCGGTCTGGGGCAGCTCCACGAGCGGCCCCGCGCAGGCGCGCCACAGCTCCGCGAACAGCTCCGGGTCCCGTCCTGCTCCTGCAGACAGACAGACAAACAAACAAACAGCAGGAGGGCGTTTAGTTTGTGGCCACGAACATGAACATGAAGAAGAAGAGACGAAGGAACGCGGTAGTATGCAGAGTGGGCTGACTCTGGATGACTCACCTTTCGCCATGGCCACGGCCTGTGGGTTTGCGTTTCTTGGCTTGGCCTCCTGGTCCTGGTCCCGGTACCGGGGAGGAGAGCGAAGGAAGCGAGACTGACTGACTGACTGAGGGAGGGGAGAAGAGAAGGAGCGGGCAGTGTGGTCACCGCACCGGTGGTGGTGTCTCCTGGCCTCCCCTCTGTTGCTCCTGCGTCGAGTGTTTGTTAGCCTCAGCCTCGCCCCATTAAAGAAAGGCGCGGTGGGACTTTGTTGAGGCCGCCTTGTTGTGGGAGGGAGAGGAGAAGAGATGGAGGAGAGAGACACAGATTGCGGGAGGGAGAGGGGAGGGAGAAAGGCGCAGCCGCGCAGGCAGAGAGAGAGAGAGAGAGAGAGAGAGAGAGCCGCGGCGGAAGCGGAAAGAGAAGGAAACGGCCGCGTTACAAAGCAAGTCCACTTTTATGCGTCGGGACGTTTGGTTCGCGGGAAATAGAGAGGGTGGGAGTGGGATAGGGAAACCAGCACGGTGGAAACCGTATGTTATGCGTATGATTTTTATAGCATTATTAATTAATCATAATATCACCTAAGTATTTTGCTGACGGGGAAGGAGAGATAAGATGAAAGAGAAGAAAAACGACCGTGCCACTAGGCCTCGCTGAATGTGGTGCTCACCTTTTACGGCCGCCCGGTGCTATCCTTTCTAGCTGAAACTCGTACCGTGCACCCATACGCCACCTACCTATGATCAAGTCCACGTCGCACTGCTCGTACTCGTTAGCCCGGCCGCCACGCACTGTAGCCTGCCGCCCCACGCCCTACCACTGCTTGCCGCCCACTGGTATTGATGGCATGGGAAGAGAACGGGAGCAGAGAGATGTGGATAGGAGGGAGAAGAAAGTGATTGGCTAAAATATTTCAAGAGCTTCACTAGAAAAAAAAATTATAATGGATGACGGAGTTTCTACGAAAAGTTTCTTAGTGATATGATATCTATGAAAACTAATAGATGTTTCTTAAGGTTAGGACTGCTCTTAGAAACCCACCCCCTATGTAAATACCACGTGTGGCTTTAACACTCATGCCCCCTGCATTTCTTGTTTCTCCCCTCTTACCAATCTAAGCCTTCTTTATAGCCATACTTTCTAGCTAAAACTCGGACCGTGCGCCTCTACGCCACCTACCTCTGATCAGGTCCACGTTGCACTGCTCACACTCGTTAGCCTGGCCTCCACGCCGATGTAGCCTGCCGCCACGCCCTACCGATGATTTTATATCATTATTAATTAATTATAATATTACCTAAGTATTTTGCTGATGTGGAAAGAAAAGTAAAGATGAGAGGGAAGAAAAGCGACCGCGCCGCTAGGTTGTGGTGCTGGCGGTCTGCGACTGCCCCGGTGCCATCCTTTCTAGCCGGGACTGGGACCGTGTTTGCCCCTATGCCACCTGTCTCCGATCGGACCCATGTCGTGTTGCTCGCACTCGTTAGCCTGGCCGTCCATGCCGCCACAGCCCGTCGCCCCCACCTCTACCGTGCTGCTTGCCGCCCACCAGTATTGATCACCAAGGAATGTGGATAGGAGAGAGAGGAAAACGATTGGCTAAAATATTTGAGGGACCTCATTAGAAGAAATATTATATTACGTGGAGTTTCTAGGAAAAGTTTCTTAGTGATAACATATCTATGAAAACTAATAGATGGTTCGAAGGTTGGTTGGAGCTGTCCGTAATAGCCCACCCGCTATGTAAATGCCATGTGTGGCTTTCACAGTCATGCCCCTGTCTTCCTCGTTTATGTCCTCTCACCAATCTAAGCCTGTTATAGATTTCGTATCATCATTTCCATTTTTATTTTTTGCAAACTATATATGTAATCCATATGTTGATATGTATAAGATTTGCCTGTCAAGACCGTGCAGTTCAAGTTCGATCAAAATCCAACTTCCTAAAAAATTTCTAGAGACAGGACACAAGTAGAAAAGGATTTTTTTTTGTTGCAAACACGAAATCCAGGTCCAGTGGTGGAGCTTGAGAAAAATTTAAGAGGACATCAAAACTACAATACACATGGATTATGGACTATAGATGTGGTTATTATTAAGCTTCATCAATGAAATTTCCTAAATATGTATCGTTCTCTAAAGGATGTTGCACAAAATTAAAGAGGGAGTGAGGCATGGCCCTCTTTGCCATTAGGAGCTCCAACCTTGTCTAGGTCTAATAAGGAGATTGAAAATAAAATATACTTACACACAATAATGAATGTATATAAAACTCTTGGATGATAGAGTAACATTCTAGAGATCAGGCTTATTACATTTACTCCCTCCGTCCTGTAATATAGTGCATTCTAAGAATTTTAAGACAAATTAAAAGAGAACATAAAAGACACATATACCCTCATTTTATTTCCTAATCATACGCTATCATCAACGTGATTAATGGTGATTGGTTGATAAATGAAAAGTATTTAATGCAAATTTGGTTTTTTCCTATAGCATGTATTATATTTGAGGACAAATTTTGAATGCTACAATGCACTATATTACAGGACGGAGGGAGTATCTTTCTTTCCGAAACATGATGGGTCTGAAAAATAGGAACCCTTTTTCCTTAGTGGGAAAAAATAAAATAAGTTTTAATTTAGCCTTCTTATTTTATCCAAACAATTCCTACGTGGAAGTGGCCACTGTGTGAATAAAATGTATCTAATTGTCTCTCGTCCTGTGTCAAATCTAAGAGCATCTCCAAGAGTGCCCCATGTCCCTTCCCCATCCTTGGAATTTGGGAAAAAAGAGAAAAACTAGTCTCCAAGAGTTCCCCATATCTCTTCCCCATCTTTCTGCACTTCGTAAAATCACCGTGACCGCGTGTAAAAATATGCGTTGCTCCGTCGCGCGCATATTCTCGTTCCCGTTCCTTCTCGTGCTTCCCGCGATAGTTTCCCGCGCCGTCTCCTTGGCGCCATAGCACAGGCTCCATCGATCTACTGCTATGTTCGTCGAGGGCAGAGGATCTTCGCCGCCGCTGACCAAGAGGTAAACTCCATCGATCTACTTCTCCATTCAGGTGTTTTGCCGTTCATAGGGTTATCCATGCTGCCGCCGCCGTGATTGGCCGCCGCCGGGATTGGCCGCCTGGGTCTTGTCGTGGAGGCCAGCGGAGGCGTAGACGGCCTGGCCTTCGCTGAGAGCATCACCCAGCGATCCGGATCAGAGTCGAGTGCTCCAGACCAGGGCTTTTCCCTTTGGCCTATGCCCGCGATCTGATCAGAGCGGCGGACAGCCGGGTTCGCGGGCGCCATGGCTGCCTGCTGCCTCAGCCTGCTATGGCTAGCTGCTGCTTGCTATTTTTTTGATGGAACTGCTATTTATTTTTTGATGAAACTGCTATTCTTGCCTGAATGTATATGCTACTGTGCCGGCGTGTATGCTACTGTACCTACTGACGGGAGAGAGGAGGCTGCATGTCACTATGTTGTACTAAATTTTTTCCTCGTACTGATGGCCGACTGGTTTTGATACCTGTGCTGTTGAATGGCTGAATGATTGGTTGACATCAGCCTGTTCGTTTGGCTGGGCTTGTTCGTTGCTGGTTCGTGAAGAAGTACTGCTAGCTGGTTTGGTGTAAGAGAAAAATACTGTTCCGGCTAGAAATTTACGATCATTTACGACAAGCACTGCTTTTGATGAAACTGCTATTTTTTCATTTCCTGATCTCTGATCCAGTACAAATATTTTTCATGTACATGAATTAAGCATTGAATTATTGTAGGATGGACCCAACGTTCGATGGTCGATATTGGGCAAACATGGTCACTGGAGAGGATGATGTTCCTGGTTTGGAAGACTACACTTTTCCCATGACACATGACACCCAAGAAATTGATGAGATGTGTACTGAAGTTCAAGCAGCTGATGTGCCGGTGCAGCCAAGTGGAGGTGCTCCACGACATTGCAGTACAAGGCCTTATTCGAAGAGGACAAAAAACTTTGATCCGAAGGAGGATTTAGTTGTTGTGGCAGCTTGGTTGAACAAGAGCAAAGATCCCATACGCAGGGCTAATCAACCTCGTGGCTCCTTTTGGAGTAGAATTCATGCTTTCTATGAGAAACACAAGACTACTGAAGCGTTCAGAACGGAGAGTTCCATTATGCATAGGTGGATGATTATTTTGGACAAAGTGAACACGTTTTGTGCATGCTACGAAGCAATTGAGCGTAGGAATCAAAGTGGTGCAACCATTCAAGACAAGGTTTAATTTGTTATTTGTTTCATTTGTTCATTTGTTTTGTTTTTCTATTTGATTTATTTGTGGAGATATACACATTGATGATTAATAATATGTGCAGGTTTCTGACGCGGCCGTGATGTTCAAGGGTTTAGACAGGGAGAATAAGACATTCACTCTAATGCACTGTTGGAACAAGTTGAAGGGTGAAGACAAGTGGAAGGCCGAGAGGAAGAGAATGACGGAGCAGCAAGCCAGTAAGAATAAGAAGAAACAAAAGATTAATGCGGATTCCATGTCTACGAATGTACAAGTCAATAACAATGAAGAAGTCACTGAGATTCCACCACTAGAATCCGAAGCACGAAAGAGGCCAATGGGTTCAAAGAAGGCAAAGGAAGTTCTAAGGCGAGGAGGTGGTGAAGCTTGCATGGAGGCTTTGGACAAGATGTGGGCTAAAAAGGAGGCTTTTGAGATGGAGAAGGAGAAGAAGAAAGAGGAGAGGTTCATGGCTTCACTTGAGCTAGAGAAAAAGCGCATGTCATTAGATGAAAAAGGTGGAATCAGACCTCATCGAAAAGGAAGACAAAATAATGTCAATTGACATTACCAACCTCGACCCGCTGCAGCAGCAGTACTACACGATGATGGCCAGCAGATCGTTGCTCGTTGTCTTGTGAATTAGAATTAGTTCATGTCATTTTATTTCTATAGCCAATTTGTTTTGGATTCAATGATTCAGTGAACCTTTGCATTACTTTGTGATTCAGTGAACCTTTGCTTCATCTAAATGGTCAAG